GCTGGTTCCTCATGCGCTCGTTGTGAGCCGCGTTGATCTGGTGACACACGTCATCCTCGTGCAACTTTCCCTTGCCCTTGTCCGGGCGGGGCTGGTCCGCTGTCCGGGACACAGACCCCAAGCTTTCCCTCGGCGAGCCAGGACGAGGATCACCAATCCGTCCCGCCATCCTCTCCGAAACCGGACGACGGCGCGTGTCACCTAGCCTATTGAAGGCGGAGGCTTTTCCACGCGCTGGGGTCTGCCCAGGCCGAAGAGGGGAAGCAGGGTGGGAGTGGGACGACGTCGTGTCCTGGGGCACCACCCCCTCATCGTTGCCTATCTGGACGGCCAACGGTTGGGGCTGAGGGGGTTGAGTGACGTTCCCCCCGGTCCTTGGCAAATGTGCGCTGAGGACGGTGGGGTTCTGAGCCAGGCTGGCGATGATGACCGACAACGCGGCCTGGACCTGCGGATCCACGGACGGAGAGGCCGCGGCCATAGGCTGGGCCGGGGCGTGGTCCGTCTTCTCAGCTCGTTTCTTGTCCAGGCCGAGGCGGGCATCAGGGGCTCCGCCGTTGAGTTGGTTGCGGAGGTCCATCGTGAGGTTGAAGGCCTCCTGGAAGAGGTCCCCTCCGCCGACCTGGTCGGCCGTGGCGTCCTCATCGTGCTCCCTGGGCTCTTGGTCCTCAGGGAAGGCTTTGCTGACGAGGTTGCGGTTTGACTTAGTTCTCCCCATGATCAGTGGTTAGCTGTGCTTGGTAGCGACGAAGGGTGCTAACTTGATTGTTCTAGCTCTCAACGAGAGCACCAAATGATAGAGTGTATCTAGAGAGAAGTGAGAGCTAGAGAGAGAAGTGCAATAATATGCTTCAATAGAATGATTTTGTAACCCCTATAACTACTCCCAAGGGGAGTATTTATAGAGAAAATACGGGCTGGGCTCCCAAGCCTTGGGCTTGGGAGGCCCGTTTACAACTGGACCGCTACTGGGCCGAATACAAAGCCACTAATGGGCTGTACAAATGAGTAAGTTTAAAAACCGGTTCTGGGAGGTCTTCGTGGCCGACGAGGGCGTGGCCGACGAGGGCACGGCCGACGAGGGCACGACCGACGAGGGCACCCGGGTTCCTTGGGCTCAGGACCATAATCTGAGTTGGCCCCTTTTCGGCCGACGGGGGCGTCTTGGCCGACGAGGGCGCCACTCTGTGTCTTGTGCTTTCTATTCTTCCGAGTATGTGGGTCCGGGGGCTCAGACCCATATACTCCATCACTACGTATATAATGAACCTTGAATTTGAGATTTTAAGCCCCTATAATTGTCGTCGATTCTTTTTAACACTTTAGTTGTGTTGGGATCCCTCCTTAATCGGAGAGGTTCTAGAAAATTCTAGAGCTTTATAGAGAAGTATAGAATTTTGTAGAACGTTGTGGAGAATCCTAGAGAAGTCTAGAACTCTCTAGAAGCTTGCGGAATAATGTGGAATCCTCTGAAATATTCTAGAGATGTGTGGAACCTTCCGGAAGCTTATGGAAGAGTATGGAAGCATATGGAAGAGAATGGAGAGGTGTAGAGATTCCTTGGAATTCTCTAGAATAGGTAGTCATGTAGATCATTCTAGAGAAATATTCTCCACCACTCATTATGGAGGTGGAGTAGTATAAATAGGAGCAGGAGCCTCCATTCCTAACTATCCCAATCCTAATCCTAGCAATCCTAGCAAGAGAGAATCCACTTCATAGAGTGAGAAAGCTAGAGAGTTAAAGAGCTTCTTTGAGAGAGAAGAGAGTTAGCTTGGGAAGGTCATATCATCAAGCTTGAGTGAGCCACCATTGAGTGAGACAATTTTGTAACATTCTTGTAAATCCTACTATTCTTTTGTATAGTGGAAGAATCTCCATATCGGAGAATTTAAATCGTGTGCTCCCATTACTACCTTAATTCCTAAGTGTCTATCTTAACTTCACGAAGCGGGAAATTCCGGAGTTTTTTCCCAACAAGTTGTTTGATGTAGTGCTGCTATTTTGATGTTTATACTCCCTCCGTCCCATTAGAATGTTTCCGGTTTGACCTACACACGTATTAAGGAAATAAACTTACCAGGGAATAAATTTTACTGTTTTGACACTGTTTCGCACTGTTTCGACACTGTTTGACACTGTTTTGCACTGTTTGACCCTGTTTTGATGTAGGATAACTTTCCATTTAGGGAAATGGGAACTTTCCAACAGGACATCAAAAAAGGAAAGCGGGAACATTCCAATGGGACGGAGGGAGTAGTTTTTATGATACTTAATGGATTATTACGTATCCAAACATATAAGAACATAAGAGAGATAAGAGTTAAAAGAAGATGAATAATAGAAATGTATAATGGCTAGATTAAATGTCTTTTGGTGCATAAGTCTCCTAAGATAAATATATACGGAGTATATAGGAAAGTCCAAGTCGGACAACTGATATGGACCCAACATGCCCAACTACGTAATAACTTATCTAATACGAAGTATATATTCATGAATATTAAAAGGGATTAGTACTATAAGAGGCAGTTTGGTGGTTCTTGTTTTCAACATTTTCATCAAACACATAACTTTTGATTACATGCGTTTAGTTGTGTAATAATCAAAATATGCAAGATCACAATTATTTTTTCGGTTGAATTTTCTGGATTTACTATATAAGTCAATTTTAGCTATTTTCATATAAGCTTTTCGTAATTTTAATAATTTAAAATGCCTTAAATAATTTTTTTTCATAATTCAATGAATTTAGTCAATTTATCAGCTTCAGCCAGAACATCATCAATTTCAGCGAATTTAGTCTATTCAATTAATTTCAATGTTAGCAAATGGGCTAAAAAAGATATGCGGTTAGTGCGTAAAATGCTTATAAAATCTAATAGTATCAAGATCGAAGATTACGGCCATATACTCTGTTAATATTTTGTTATTTTTTGCAAGAGAATGATACTTTATGCATAACAATAGTTTTTTTTAACATCCTTCAAATTTTTATTGTAACCATTGGCAGAAGTGTATGTTTAAAACATACATTACCTTGCCTCAAAAAGTTAAACCACTTAGTTATTTAATATTATGCAGTGTCGGTAAAAATAAGTTAATTAGTAGAAAACAAGGGAAAAGTTAAAATAGTGTCTTCTAATGTTCTCATGTTTCAATTTCATTACTTAAGTTCTTATATTAGGGAAAATGTGTTGCTCTTTCAATTTCATTACTTATGCTCTTATATTAGCAAAAGGACCATATAAGCACAGTTATTTAGAATATATATCCAATAAAGTCATCTTGATGTGGTATACCATATTATTTTAGGAAAAATTAATTTACGAAATTAGATAAATTTTCCAAATTTTGTAAAATTCATACAGTTTTTAGTTTTTAGTAATGAACATTGTGATTACATATGAATCTCATATTCGGCACTAAGATTTCAAATATACCAAACGAGACACTATAATTATTTGTGAATATCATATTAGTCATCAATGTTTCATAATTCATCATTTCTGGAAACCCACTTATGATTTTCTTCTTACATTAACAAAAATCGCTAGTCTTATTTTTGCCTTCCTTTCTTGTGCCAATAAACTAACTTAATTGATGTGTATAATTTTGGATATTTTAATTTGAGGTTTTAAAATATATAATTTGATTTTAATTAATTACTTGTTATATTTAACAAACTAAAAATGTATTTAGAACTTCTCATTCAAATGATTTTTATGAAACTTTGGGAAATATCGATTTGTTAAATTGATGTAACAAAATCAATTGAAAATCTTATTACATATTTTAAATCGAAGTACACCGATTAAGTAATTTTTTTTAGGTACACAAAACAAAGGAAAAATGAAATACTAGTAGCTTTCAAATGTGAAAAATTTCCCGCGAGTGTCCAAAAATGATAAAAAAAAAACGTTAAATTTAATCTATTTGAAACTCTAGTGTTCACTATTATATACATATGTAGTCAGAGTGTTTAATTTAGTCCATTTAAAATCTCCAATTTGTTGTTCAATATGAAATTCACGTGTAATCATAATCTCCAATTTATCCCTTGACCTTTACCAAATTTAGAAAAGGGAAAAAGGTCAAATAATCCTTTTACTATTTTCAATCCGTCATTTGAGCCCTTGTACTAATAAAAGTATTTAAAAACTCTAAATATTGTTAAAATTTGAAGAATTATATACGAAATTGTGAAAATATGCAGAATATTAAAGTCAATATTGTTTAATTTTTAAAAATGTTTGTATATTCAACGTCTATTTAAAAGTTTTTTATTTTTTTATTTTTTATTTTGACTTTATTTTTTCAGTTTTATGATTTTTATTTTATTTTATCGTTTTTAAAATTTGATCTATTTTTACATTTGATCTATTTTTATATAATTATTAGATTAATTATTCAAATTTATATGAATTTTTATAAGATATATCAATATTTCTAATTTAATTTAAAAAAAATAATCTACTATGAGAAGTCAGATAACTCGATTGAATGTATTTTAAACGTAAACTTATTTAGTACTCCCTTCCGTTCAGGATAGAACTTGACATTTGCTTTTGACACAGTATTTTAGGAGTTCAATTAACAGAAAAACAAATATCTTGCATGTCCTTTGACTTTTAGAAGAAATTAATGATATCTAATCAAAATTTATAAAACGAGTTGCTAGCGAAGGAAGAATAGTTAAAATATTTAATGTAAAAGAAGTTTTGCCTAAAAAGGAAACGTGAGACGTTCCAAAAGAAAAGTGTAAAGATTTAAATGAAACGAGAGGAGTAACACATATATTTCTTTAGTACTCCGTTCGTCCCATATTTATCTCCTGAAGTATGAAGAATGTGTAAGAATTGTTGTGAAACACAAAATTTTTGTTAAAAAGAGAAAGAAAAGATAAATTTGGAACAGACCGAAAAGAAAAATATGAAAATAATTTCGGGACGAAGGGAGTATAAAAATTTAAATGACAATTGAAAAGAGTAGAATTATTATTACTCCCTAAATCAAAACTAACATCCCCTGGATCTGTATGCTTCTACAAACTTCTTCAAACATCTTGCTTTTTGCAGAACATGGTCACATCGACTCACGCCCACTGCTCTATTTGATAGCTCAACTTACATTGGCTTTGCCAAGGACTGTCACAGCTATTTGCACAATTTATCGTTGTTCTCTTCCGCCATGCTGACATCGCGGAGCTTTTCCACTGCCAGGCTGACTAGGTCTGCTGTGGCGGCATTTAGGGCCGCTCGCAACCGCTCTCTGGCTCAATCGCGCTACCCCGTCTCACGCGCAGCCGAGGTTCCGTCTCTCCACGAATTGAATGCAACCAGAACTCACCCATTTTTCGCCGCCCTGGCGGTGAGGCTCGGAGCTTCCACGAATACGCCGAAACTGTACTTGAAAGAGGCTGGGCTTCCCAGAAATTTTAATTGCCGCGCCTACTCCAACTCCTCTGCTAGTTCCGGCCAGGTGTTTTGAAACTTAAAACCACCTTTTCAAGTTTTCATAGTGTTGTTTTTACTTTTTAGTTTTCATCAAAAAGAAAACTACACTGAAGAGCTCTAAGAAACATATTTAAACATAATACATTTTAAAATTAGATCGATGTTTTTATCCTTCCATCTCCGGAAAGTCCGAATGGAAAAAGTAAAAAGATGTGTTTGAAATGAGGAGCATCTGTTTCTGTTCTGCTATGTTTTTGTAATTGATCTCAGTAACTCTCTAAACATGGCTGTCTCATATGTGTATGTTGGAATTTTAAAATCATATCCATTATGCAGATAAGCAACTCAGAATACACTGAGTTGGCTTTTGAGGGTATAGTTGGAGCTGTAGATGCCGCACGAGCCAACAAACAACAAGTGGTTGAAACAGAGCATTTGATGAAATCCCTTCTGGAGCAGAAAGATGGATTAGCTCGAAGAATATTCACTAAAGCTGGTCTGGACAACACATCAGTTTTGCAAGCCACGGATACATTTATATCCAAACAGCCTAATGTATGAGACTGAGTTAGAGACATCAGTTTATGTTTTTTTAATAAAATTATTTCTTACTTATTTACATGAAATGTTTTTCCAACGCCTCAAGTAAACTATACCACTTTTTCTTGCAGGTGACTGGTGGTACAAGTGGTCCCATTATTGGGCCTCATTTATATTCTCTCTTAGAAAATGCAAAGAAGTATAAGAAAGAAATGCATGATTCCTTTGTGTCTGTGGAGCACTTGTTGTTAGCTTTGTATTCAGACACCAGATTTGGGCAGCAATTATTTAGAAATTTGCAACTTGGTGAGAAATCTTTAAAGGAAGCCATTGAAGCTGTTCGTGGTAATCAGAGAGTAACCGACCAAAGTATGGCATAGTATAATAGCATACTCTTGTAAAATGGATTGTTTTAATATCATCCTAGAGATATATTAAATTTGGTTTGGAATGTGCCTCATGTGCTGCAAAACTGCATTTTTTTTCTGTACAGACCCAGAAGGAAAGTTTGAGGTACTTGAAAAATATGGTATGGACTTGACAGAACTTGCCAAATGTGGAAAGCTTGACCCTGTAATAGGGCGTGATGATGAAATACGGCGTTGCATTCAAATTTTGAGCCGGAGGACAAAAAACAACCCTGTAATAATTGGTGAGCCTGGTGTAGGGAAAACTGCAATTGCTGAAGGGTACAGTTGGTTATTCATGTGTTGCTTTAATTATTCGTATCTTGTCGTGTCCTATTGTGGAATTATGTTTAGGAGTACTTAGATATTGTGAGTTATGCCACATAGTAATGTTTTCTTAAAACATATACATCAAGTATATAGGCCGGTTTCCCACTAGTGGCCTTTTTTTTGGGGGGGGGGGGGGGGGGGGGGGTGGACTCCCCTATTCATGTTATCTTCAGCAGCAGCATGCTGTGCTTATTTTGAGTTCCACCCAAACAACTCCGAATATCTCATGGCGATTCTTCTTTTTATTTAAAAAACACATTTTTTATGTGTCATTATCAGAGGAGCAATGGTTACACTAATCTGTATCAAATCATGCATGCCGTGGCGAACACATAAAAGATTGCAAATTTGATGCTGCTGCCACTTAAAATAGATACAAAATGTACTGACTTCTTGAAATGAATTTAGAACAAGATGTTTTCTCCAGGTTTTGAAGATGCATTTTATCTCTGATGTATGAGCAATGTATTTTTGTTTCTTTGAGATTAGGTTGGCACAGCGCATAGTCCGTGGAGATGTTCCGGAACCTCTCATGAATCGAAAGGTTATTATCTTTTGAAGTGGAATTCAATAGGCCAAGTTTATTTTATTTTGCATATTATTTTAGTTTCACACTTGATGCTTCTTTGCGTGGAAGCATTTGAGATTGTTTTTCAAATCATCCAGTTGATATCATTGGATATGGGTGCACTACTTGCTGGCTCCAAGTTCCGTGGAGAATTTGAGGAAAGGTTAAAAGCTGTGTTAAAGGAAGTAACTGCTTCGAATGGACAGATTATACTATTTATTGATGAGATCCACACAGTTGTTGGTGCAGGTTGAAATTATTAATTTCCTCTTTTGTTTATTTTCTATTGTTACTAGTTTTTTTCTTTTAATATATTAGTCGATGTTTTTTTAAGCTACCTTCATCTGTGATATTATTTGTTTTTGCTGCTTGGTTTGTCATCTTTCTGCCTTATTTCAATTTGACCAACAGTGAGTCAAATGTTTTGCTATTTTTCTTTCAACTTGTTATGTTAACTACTTTATTTTATAGCCTTAAGTGAGTTGTGTCTTTGATATTATTTAATTATTACTAATATATTACTACCTCCGTCCCGAAATAATCGTCCTGGTTTGACCTTCACATAGATTAAGAAAGTGAAGTTGGCTTCACACTGTAGCGACACTGTTTGGCACTGTAGCGCCGCGACACTGTTTGGCACTGTAGCGCCGTGACACTGTTTGGCACTGTAGCGCCGCGACACTGTTTGGCACTGTAGCGCCGCGACACTGTTTGGCACTGTAGCGCCGCGACACTGTTTGGCACTGTAGCGCCGCGACACTGTTTGGCACTGCAGCGCCGCGACACTGTTTGGCACTGCAGCGCCGCGACACTGTTTGGCACTGCAGCGCCGCTACACTGTTTGGCACTGCAGCGCCGCTACACTGTTTGGCACTGCAGCGCCGCTACACTGTTTGGCACTGCAGCGCCGCTACACTGTTTGGCACTGCAGCGCCGCTACACTGTTTGGCACTGCAGCGCCGCTACACTGTTTGGCACTGCAGCGCCGCTACACTGTTTGGCACTGCAGCGCCGCGACACTGTTTGACACTGCAGCGCCGCGACACTGTTTGACACTGTTTTGCACTGTTTGACATTGTTTTGTATAGATTTGTTTACCAAATAAGGAAAGGAGACAATTATTTCGGGACGAATCGAAAAGAAAAGCAAGACAATTATTTCGGGATGGAGGGAGTAATATTTAATATTAATATTACTTCAGTGTTCAAATAGTCTTAAATTTAAGTGCATACACACACACACACATATTGCACGGTAGCTCTGATTCTAAGATCTTACGATCTGAGGTACGATCCCCTAGACCCCTTCTGCTCCGTACTAGGATCTCGAGTTTAACACCTTGCCTCTATCTATGTGCTATATAAGCTGGTTGCTTGTCCGTGATGCGAAATGCGGTCATTACACATCTCTGGTTCTTTTTTTTTCCTAGTAGTATGGTTAAAGATTCATAGTGATATATCGGAAGGCAACATGGTACTGCCTTTTGGAGAAGGTTTGTTTAAATGTATACTGATATTCTTCTCTTTGTGGCTAGGTTAGCTTTTAATATTTCTTGACTTTAGAGTACAGTTAAAGTGTCAAAACTGTCAACGTATTAACACATAGCTAAGAACATGACAACAAATAAAGGCTTTGATATGCTTGCAGTTTGCTTTCGGCATGATTTTTGGTTAACCTGGCCTTAGCATAAGAACTGTTTTTCATTCTTTTGTTTAGATAACATCTCAAGTAGACTTCTCTTTTATGATTTATGAATAGGCGCTACTGGTGGGGCAATGGATGCTGGGAATTTATTGAAACCAATGCTTGGCCGTGGTGAACTTAGATGCATAGGAGCAACTACACTAAATGAGTACAGAAAATATGTCGAAAAGGATCCTGCTTTAGAACGCAGGTTTCAGCAAGTATATTGTGGTCAACCGTCTGTAGAAGATACAATTTCCATTCTTCGTGGATTGCGAGAGCGGTACGAACTGCATCATGGGGTCAAAATATCCGACAGTGCTCTTGTATCAGCAGCTGTTCTTGCAGATAGATACATTTCCGAGAGGTTTTTACCAGACAAAGGTATGTTGGTACATTGGGGCTGCACATAATTAGAAGTTTGTATAAACACATTTATCTTATTGATTCAATTGTCTGTTTGACAATGGGTATAGAGTACCCCTAATCTCGCTTGTTGCTTGTATTATGGGAATTTCACTTGCAAATTGAAGTTGTCTTTAAAGCCAGTCATTTTTTTGGTTTTAAAATGTTTTTTTTAACAGGTCTGTTTTTGGTTGGATAGAGAGTATTTTATGAAACCGTTTGCTGACAAGTTAAGCCTTGTAGATTTTATTATATCATTTGTCAAATGATATAATTGTCCCATTTATATTATACTTCTGGATCCTCATTGGTTTGTTCTGCTGAAAAGATGTGAGTTTTTGTTTTCCCAGCCATTGACCTTGTTGATGAAGCTGCTGCGAAACTGAAAATGGAAATCACTTCAAAGCCTACTGGGTTAGATGAATTAGACAGGACAATACTAAAGCTAGAAATGGAGAAGCTTTCTCTTAAAAGTGACACTGATAAAGCATCTAAAGAAAGGCTGTGCAAGTTGGAAGGTGACCTAACATCACTGAAACAAAAGCAACAAGAGCTAACTGAACAGTGGGAGCATGAAAAAAGACTGATGACTTGTATACGGTCAATCAAGGAAGAGGTGATTCATGAATCATATTTTTATCTATTTGATGTTGATGGTTTTAATTTGTTCTGTAAGGAAGGTTTTGGCTAAAGTTGTTGAATATGTGGTTGAGTTGCTGAAATGGCTGAGTTGCTAAAAAAGAACATTTAGTAAATACTGTATTGGTTAAATAAAGAAAAGTATATATTGAGTAGGCTAATATGATCATCAACAATGTCTGGTAAGTCGGAAAAGTGGCCACTAAACAGATTTTTTTAGGGATCTAAACCATCCGCAAGATTGTGTAACTGGGGATGACTTGTAATATTGAACAATGAGGGACTAAAATTGAAATTCAACTTTTTTAATCATATTGTTCTACGATATTCTTACTGTTTGGTCTTGAACTTTGTTCAACTATTTGTTACTGCAGATTGATAGGGTCAACGTAGAGATGGAAGCTGCAGAGCGTGAGTATGATCTAAACCGTGCAGCTGAACTTAAGTATGGAACATTGACGTCTCTTCATCGTAAGCTTGATGAAGCAGAGAAAAATCTTGCTGATTATCAAAAATCTGGAAGCTCTCTACTCCAAGAGGAAGTAACGGACATTGACATTGCTGAAATTGTCAGCAAGTGGACTGGAATTCCTTTATCAAATCTTCAACAGACAGAAAAGGAAAAGCTCGTACGGTTAGAGAACGTTCTTCACAACAGGGTTGTTGGACAGGACATGGCAGTGAAATCTGTAGCTGATGCAATCAGACGTTCGAGAGCCGGGCTATCTGACCCTAACAGACCCATTGCGAGTTTCATGTTTATGGGCCCCACGGGCATTGGTAAAACCGAGCTTGCAAAGGCTCTTTCTGCTTACCTTTTCAATACCGAAAATGCTCTCTTGAGGATTGATATGAGCGAATATATGGAAAAACATGCGGTTTCACGCTTGGTTGGGGCCCCACCAGGTTATGTTGGTTATGAAGAGGGTGGGCAACTCACAGAAGTAATCCGACGGAGGCCTTATTCAGTTGTACTCTTTGATGAAATTGAGAAAGCACATCCTGATGTTTTCAACATTCTTTTACAGTTGTTGGATGATGGGAGAATCACAGACTCCCAAGGAAGAACTGTTAGCTTCACAAACACGGTTGTGATAATGACATCAAACATCGGTTCACAACATATTCTTGAAACTCTTCAAAGCTCGCTTGGTAGCAAAGAGTCTGTTTATGAACTCATGAAAAAACAGGTCGTTGACTTGGCAAGACAAACTTTTCGGCCAGAGTTCATGAATAGAATTGATGAGTACATTGTTTTCCAACCTCTGGGCATGGAGCAAGTTAGCCAAATTGTCGAAATCCAGGTAATGAGTAGCTTTCCATTCAAAGTTATTACAAACTAGATTAAGTTACGCGTGGCAGTGTGTGAGATTTCTTATAGATTAAGTCTCTTACCGATAAGCTTTACATAGAGCAAGTCTTGTCTTGTAATTAGTTCAAATAATTTGTTATAATATTCTGAATTATCAGGCAAAGTTGAATTTACCACAATATGACACTCCTGTCCCATAAAACTTGGTGAAAGTTGACTTGCACATAGAATAAAGTAAAATTTGTGTGGTTGATGTTTGTGCAGAGGAGAGAAACAATTTTAGCCACATATTTGTTACTTTAAATGGAAATGACGAAGTTTTTTGGGACGGCAAAAAATGGAAATTTGCCCAGGTTTTATGGGACGGAGGCAGTATTCCATACTACTTGTATACTTCCTCTGTCCCAAACAAAGTTTTTGGCACAGTTTTTACGGAATTAAAACAGTGTGGTTGGAACTTATTCAGAGGGGCATTAAATAATACGGAGTATATAAACTAAGCACTTCTATCCCTAAGGGGAACATGAAACTTATTTTGGGATTTGCAAAAAGGAGAGCATGAACCTTATTTTCAAATGGAATATAAGTATATTTAAATACTTATCGGACATTCTTGATATGAATGTATATTTATATACTCCCTCCGTCCCTTAAAACTTTGTCATCTTTCCTTTTTGGGATGTCCCAAAAAACTTTGACACTTTCCCTTTTAATCAATATGTTGTGGTTTCTTTTATTTCTCTCCTCTGCACAAACCACACAGTTTTTACTTTATTATTCTCCGTGCCGGTCAATTTTGGCAAAGTTTTAAGGGACGGAGGTAGTACAACAACATTACCGAAGTGGCACAACGGCTGCCACCTAGGTGGCATAAATGTATATTTTTATGTGATTTTTTTTTTGACTTTTGAGTGCTAGAAATGATTGTTTTTGCCCCAAGAAAATATTGTGGGGTGGTTATTTCAGCAATTAATTATTTTCAAATGTTGAAAAAATGACATGTTTTTTTATGCTCATGTGTGTGTGTGTGTATTGTTGAATTCAAGCCAAATACATCCCAAATAAGGTGTATACTTGATGGATATGCCCTTACTACGTTTTGACAAAGAAACAAAATCTACAATATCAGTTTAGAGCTAAAATTTAAATAAAACCTGAATGTTGTTTATTTTTGCACCAAAGCTTTTGTGTGTATTTTGATTTATGAGAAAAAGGGGGATGCTTATTTTGAACCAGGAAAATGGCAGACGGGCATACCGTTTAGGTGGGGTCGTGGGGACTGAACGGGATTAGACTTTCCTAAAACTAGCATTTGGGGGGGGGGGGGGGGGGGGGGTGCTCACGTTCGGATCTCATTTTTGTCTCCATTTCTTCTCACGATATTATAAATGTCAATGGCTTATGTGGCATTATGTTCTGTAGTCTGAGCGAGTAAATGTGGGTCTTTGCTGAATGCAGATGAACCGTGTAAAGGAGCGACTCAAACAGAAGAAAATCGAGCTGCATTATACGGAAGAAGCTTTAAGTTTTCTGGCTACTATGGGATTTGACCCTAATTTTGGAGCCCGACCTATCAAGCGTGTGATTCAACAAATGGTTGAGAATGAAATAGCATTGAGTGTGTTGAAGGGGGATTTTAAGGAGGATGACTCTATTGTAGTGGACGTTGATAACTTGCAGAATTCCAATGCCCGAAACAGGTTGGTCATCAAGAAAATAGAAAATGGGTTTGCACTGGATGCCATGGTCGCTAATGATTGATTGATACACCTTGTTAAGAAGGTGTTGTACATTATTAGGAAGGGCATTTTGTAGCTTCGTATTCTTTTATTTAATACTTCGTATAGAGATAACTATCAAATAAGCCCTCTTACTATATGGAAAATGGCAATTAACCCCTCCTACTTCAAAATCACCCAATCAACTAATCAAGTGCATGAACTTGTGAAAATCATTCAAATTAGCTATTGAGGCAGTCAGCTTACTATATGGAAAATGGCAATTATCAAATAAGCCCTCTTACTATATGGAAAATGAGAATTAACCCCTCATACTTCAAAATCACCTAATCATGAACTTGTGAAAATCATTCAAATTAGCTATCGAGGCAGTCCCAAAATTAGCTATTGAGGCAGTCCTCTTCCTGTCTTCCGGTTACAAAGCTTACGTGTACTGCGGGTGGCAATGTGGCATGGCATTATTATTTGATAATAATTTTCAAATAGTTATATGAAAAAAGAAGAAGCAATTAATAGTCCGCCTCTGTTTTCCTGCTTACTTAATTAGAGCCATTACAATCTTAGATTCTTGCCCTTTGTGGAAGAAGAATGTGTTTTTAAAAAAAAAATTAAAGCAAATAGGAGTAGAAAAGTATTCAAAACATATTAGGAAAATTACTATCATCCAACAATTCAACTTAGTTGATTTACAATTATGGCAACCGAGTTGCCGGAGATGGTACACATTAGCAAAACATATCACACTAGACATTTTTCGCACACAAAGCTATAAATTTAATAGTATCCAACAACTTTGTGGTTCTATCGATGGAGCAATCATCTGAACAGGGGTGAAACGACGGCGGCAGCGCAGGCTAGGGGTGGACCGGTTCCGGTTCGGGCCCGGCCGGGCCTCGGTTCATGAAAGGGGAGGCCCGGAACCGGTCCGGGTAACCCCGGGTCCGGGCCGGGCCGGGCCTCGGTTCTTGTATTTTTTTTTTTGGCTTTTCCTAATTAACCCTCAACCCTCCCCCCTCACCCCCAAACCACCTCAAATGGCCCATCATAACCAGCTCAACCCAAAAACTTAAAAAAATTCAAAAAAAAAAAAGAATAAAATAATAATTTGGCCCAGTCTTAGGAGGCCTGGGCCCGGCCCGCCTACCTCACCGGGCCGGGTGGCCTGAACCGGGCACCAACCGGTTCACCGGTCCGGTTCCGGGCCGGTTGGCCTGGCCCGAGTCCACTCCTAGCGTAGGCGCAACCATCCATGACCTTTTCTCTGTCCTCGTTATCATTGTCGTACCGGAGGTGTTTTAGTTGACACAAGAACAATGCTCCAACCACATGAAGAACACCGTTGTACTGGAACACACCCACTGAGCCAAATCAAAGGTGAAAACAGAGAAGACAAATATTCTTGGGAAGGGAGAAAGCTAAGAATGAGAAGAAAGAGGTAAAGGCTACGAAATGACCAAAAAGGACTTCATATTACATTAAAAGTGTGAAAAATAAATTAATAATAGTGCCACATAGAGCGTCACTTAAGATCGTGACCGGAAGACTAGAAGGTGACTGCCTAAATAGCTCATTTGAATGTTTTTCACAAGTTCATGGACTTGATTTTTGAAGTAGGAGGAGTTAATTGCCATTTTCAATATAGTAAGAGGGCTTATTTGATAGTTTTTCCTTAATATATAACTCATATTTGAAGGCATATTACACGTGTGAGATAATGCCAATAACATTTATTGTGTAGACAACAGAAATGGTGCACCTAAAACATCATTCAATCCTCTAAACAATAGAGGAAAGAGATGTTTGTAAACATAATTTGTACACACCCTGCCACTTGCACATACAAATTGGCAGTTTATACAAGAAATGTGTACAAAAAATGTGTACAAGTAGCACCACCCAACAATAGAAGGCAATGAAAGGCCTATTTTCAAAACAAAAAGCTCTTTGTTGGACAACCAAATGAAGTTTTTTGTTCTACATTTACGTTTTGTTTAATAATCCAACAAGTAGTGTTCCCCAACTAGTGTTTTACCTAGGTTTTGCCCTGGGAAAATGTTGAAATTCTTTGAAAACATTGTGATATATATATGGGAAAAGGGAGAACGATCAAATAAACCATCAAACTTTCATAAAAAGCGTAAATAAGTCCTTTTAGAGGAGACTTTGTCCGGCTGTCGACATTTGGGGCGGTTTCCGCTGAAAGATTTTGATGATTTTTTTTAGCATCTTCTTCATTGAGTCTAGTTTACCCATACCAAATTTCAGCTAAAAATTCAATCGAGAAGACAGTCAAATGATTTTCTGAAATATACTCCGCTGCCTAACTGCGCAGTTATCTTCAAAAATTCATTTGACTGCCTTCGCGATTGAATTTTTGTCTGAAATTTGGTATGAGTAAACTAGACTTAATGAAGAAGATGCTAAAAAATTTCATCAAAATATTCCACCGAAAATCACTTCAAATGGCGATGGTTAGATATAACCTTCTATAAAAGGGCTTATTTGCACTTTTTATGAAAGTTCGAGAGCTTATTTGATAGTTCTCCCTTGGGAAAATGGTCAACTAAGCCCTTGTATTATTTTCAATTTATCACTTAAGTTTTTGTATTAAAAAGTATCACATAAGTACACTTTAAAATTAAAAAAAAAAAACTCTAAAGCATTATTAAAATTTGAACAAGTATTGATAAAAATTGTGAAAATTTTCGTAAAAGATTTTCTTTTTTAATTTTTGAAACTATTTGTATATTCTACGTCTATTTAAAAGGTCATTACATTTTATATTCGATATTTTTTATATTTTCACTTTGATTATCCTATTTTCCGATTTTTTATTTTTGTTATTTTAATTTATTTATCTACTTTGCATTTATGTTATTTTTATATTATTACTACTTTTGTCCCATAATGGTTGTTTTATTTCAATTAGGTATGATTATTAATATATTAGTTGAAAAATAAAAGTTGTGATTCAGATTCAGTAGAATGAAGTGAAATGATATGAAAGACAAATTTCTTATAAAAAAGAGAAACATGACATTCATTTTGGAACAATCCAAAAAGGAAAGTAAAACAACCAAAATAGAACAAAGGGAGTATTAAATTATATTTCAAATTTATATGAATTGTTAAAATATTTATCAATAGTTCAGTTTTTTTAAATAACCTGCTATAATGGGTCAAAACTGCTTGATTGATTATATATAGAAAGTAAGTGTACTTGTATAATGCTTTATCTAGTAGAAGGGCTTAAGTGATGAGTTGGAAATATTAGAAGAATGTATTAGACCCTTTTCCCTATACCTTTTATAGAATGTAGGACTAACTCATCGTTTATTCATGTAAACGTTTGTTCGCTATGGATTGCAATTTAATTAAAGAGAATATGTTAAAAGGTGACATTGTCATGTAACATTCAGAATGGACTCGGTCCCGGTTATGATCCCGAACCGACTAGTCTTGGTTCAAACGTATGAAAGCTCGGAATCGATCCATATGACGTGAGTCGTGGTCCGCTCTTATGTACCCGCACATATAGGGCCCAGTAAGGGAATTTTTTAGATATTCGGAAATTACAAGTGAAAATAGTGACATACATTTTCTATTCTTTTTTGAAAGCAAAACTTTGAACTATATTAATGTAAACAAACGTATACAGCTACGATCAATCAAAAACTCAAAACTCCACCAACATTCTTCCAATAGACTCTTGTTAGATTCAATAAATGACTTACGATTAGATTCTGAGACGGCCACCTCCACCAAGCAGTGCGAATCGATGACTACCAACCAAGCAACATAGAGTTCATTTCGACCTTTAAGGTCATCATACTCTTTCTCACTTCAAAACCCTCAGAATAGCCGAAAAAACTCCTTATTCCCTGATTAGACATAGAAAAATTCACCCAAAATAGAGTAAAACTTTTCTCTGATCACCAAGTTAGAATTGTGAGGCATATAAAGACCTTAAAAAACTCAAGAGCATTGCGAACAGAATTAAAACAAAACTAAAGCAAAAATTTAAAGAAAGAAAAATAACTCTTGAAATACAAACAAGGCAAGAAACCTGATCCAGTCTTGAAGCATCGTCTTCCAAATTCTTGCCTCACGGCCACTCCAACGCGGCAGTTTCGGAGGGGGACACACCATCACAACTTCATATTGCTTGTTCATCTCGTCATCTAGATCCAAGATTAATAATTTCAAATCCATAGCCCATGAGTAGAGCCTCTTACACTGTACGATCATCTGGCATCCCTTCTGTCTTGCTCCCACTGACAGACTTTTGCTGATGTCCCCAACAAAATGGTCGCTCTTTGTCAGATTTGACATGCCAAGCCACGACCAACCAAACCTGCAAATTAAAAAGCAAAACAGAAGTCGTACCTTCTTAATTATGCACTTCGTCAAACTGAGTAAACAACTACCAATTCAAATATAAGTCCGGCAAACACTCTCAAATACACTGCACGTATCTGGCGGCACAACCTAAACCCTACAAGCGAGGGAGCATGGTCCACTTTTCTCTCGTTGTTACGTAGTTTTTGTTTTTACAGGTGATTGTCAATATTTGTCTTACATTTACTATTCTTTGAAAATCCTATTTCTGGCATCACTTGACATGTCTTCTATAAAGTGATAGGATGGTGCTATGTTAATTTCTTGAGTTCTGCGGATGACCTTCAACCAACTGTGGAAGGAAATGGGCGTCTCAAGAGACTGTGCGCCCAACCTCATTATATAATCGATTAGGCCAGATGTTGTCGGCTTCATTAAACTCTTTTCCCATGACAACTGTTGAAACCAGTATTAAAAACACATGTTTCACCATTTTTGATAAAATCAAAATATTTCTTGTTAGTCTTTCCACCATTTGAGAATGTCAAATTTTCGCTTCTTCATACTCAACATGAAATGTTAGATATAAAAAATGCTCATTAATCGAGCTTTGTGCAACGACGGGAGCAGATTTACTTTTATCCAAAATATTATACTCCCACCGTTCTTCAATACTCATCTCTTATTTCATTTTGGGTTGTTCTTAAATAGTTGTCCTTCCCATTTTGGAAAGTTTTTTCAATAAGTATTGTTAGAGTATTTGTCCCACATCGGAAAGCTATAAAATAATAAACCACTGTATAAGCTTTTGGGTTACTCCTCTTATCAGGTTGACCTTTTAGGACGTATCCCCGAA